CGTCTGCCCACCATCGGTAGCGATATCGCGGCCATCACCGGCTGCTCCGCGACCTCCAAAGGCACCCCTTGAATGCCCGCGTCTGCCTGTCCCACCAAGGGCACAGGCGCCACCGTGGGCGGCGCCTGACTAGCCAACGATGTGGTCACACAGGCGCCGCTCCCGCTCGAAATGAGCGTGACACCAGCCGATGGCCGTGGCCCTAATTGGAGGACGATGCTCTTCTTCGACACCAGCGCCAAAGGATTCCGCTGCCTATCGTTGCTGCAAGGGACGAAAAACATAAGTCACGATGAAATCTGACTAAAACACTAAAAACAGAGGAAATGGATAACTCACCTTAGAGCCGTCGGGCGACAAATGCGTTTGGGGGACGACCCCCCCCGACCCTTGCTCCGCCTCATCGGAATGAGGCCATTTTGAGCCTGCCCCCTGCTTCTAGGCAGAGGGGCTCACCCCTGGCAGCTCCTAGGGCACATTGGCGGAACACCCTACTCCCCTTAGCTCTTGGGGCACGATGGTGGAGCCGCTCGCCTCCACTGGCACCTCGGGCATGATGGTAGAGCCGCCCGCCTCTGTTGGCTCCTGGGGCAGGTCGACGGTACGTCCTGCCTCCATCGGTTCCTGGGGGGTGTCATCGAAATGGCCCGCCTCCGCTGGCTCCCCAGATGTACCCTCCCCTCCATGGAATGGGAAGGGTCCCAATGCCTGCAAGGATGAACTAATCCCTATCAGCGCATCCTCGTTCTCCAGGTTGTCCCACTCGATATCGTCGGCTACCGTTTCTTCTTCCTCCATCACCTCATCGTCGTCACCATCATCATCATCATCATCATTGTCATTGTCCTCCCCTCGTTCTCGTACCTGCAGCTTCCGCTGCTTCTTCCTCTTCATGTCCTCCTTCGCCTTCCTCAGCAGCTCACCGTCGGCGTGATTCGCCACCCTCACGGCCGAATCCCTCGACAGCGGCGCTGGGTGATTCGTGAGGATGAGGTCCTTTGGCTGGTCCTGCCCCTCTCAAAGTTAGTCTCACGGGGTCGTAAAATCAATTGTAGAGAAGGCAAGAGAAAGGGAAACTTACGAAGACAACGTAGCCTGGCTCCAGCCGCATCGGAGGATGCCCCGACACCAGGTAGACGAAGTCAAGGGTGGCACCCGCGTCATCCCGCAAAGGTTCCATCGCCTCCTTGATGCATTGTGCGATCTCGGAGTTGGGGAGCGTTCCCTCGGTGAGCATCGTTCTATCGAATGATGCCTCAGGCACCATCGCATATAGCAGGAGCGCGCGCGTCATCAACGGCGCCACCCTCCTCACGTGGTAAGCCCCGATGATGTCTGACCCTTTTAGGCCGTTCTCCTTCGGGATGTGGATGGCGGCGATGTGGTATCGGATCTTCTTCTTGTCCTTCTCTGGGATGCCCCACTTCCTCCACTCCTTCGGGGCCTCTTCGATCAGGCAGAGGGACAGCGGCGTCATTCTTGAGGTAGAACCACTATGAGTGCCACCCCTTATTAGACATCAAGAGCCGCATGGATGGGTACTCGCTGACCCAATTGCTCCAAAGTTGGATGCTGGCGCACCCTATCGGCATGTGCAGCTCCTGCCTACCGCCCTTCTCCCTCTTCTTCTGGAGGTTGACGGTGAAGAAATACCTCCACAAGTTAAAGTGGGGTCTGATCCTCAAGAATCCTTCACACAACGCGATGAACGCCGCCACGTGCTGGATCCCATTGGGATTGAGATGTTGCAGCTCAATCTTGTAGAAGTGCAGCAACCCTCGGAGGAATTTGTGGGCGGGGGTAGCGAGCCCACGCTCGTGGAAGTGGGCAAATGACACCACGTAGCCGTCGGGCGGCGACGACGAATCCTTGTTGCTGGGAGCAACCAATCCTCGCCCAAGGTCCGCGCGTGGAGAAGACCACGACGGATGAGGCTCTCCATGCGCTAGGAAGGTGATATTGGAACGGCACTACGGATCCATTGGAGGTGGGGCGGATGGATGCGAGTTCAACGGTGGTAGAGATGCAGAGGCAGAAAACCTAAGCGTTGGTGGTGGCAGCGGTGTGGCTGTAGAGGGACAATGGGTGCGAGAAAACCAACCGCTCGCCTAGATCTCCACGCCTGCCATGACCTGTCACCACATCTCATCGCGGGGCGTGCGCACGCAACCTATGGTCGTTCCCTCAAAAAACGCGCCAGACGTTTCGCCTCCCCGAACAGGCCACGACCCGTCACAGGTAAGAGGGATACGGAGCTAAAAACGCTCCTACGGCCCACCTAGGCCTAGGAGTTTGAAGGTTGGCCCACCGACGGGTTCAACGACCGCTCCGGGCACCTTTAGAGTGAGGGGTGGAAAGGGATGGGCCCGCTAGCGGCCAGTACCCGGGCGCACGAGCGCCGCGGGCATCCTGGCCCACGTTCGAGTCTCGGCCAGATACGATCCATAGTTTTTCCTCGAAGAAAGGCAGAGAGCCCTCGGGACTGATCGAACGGACTCGAGAACTATATGCATTGACAGCTGAGAATCTAGAGTCGGTCACCAGCTAACCCAAGCCGGACCCCCACAAATGGGATACCAGGCCCCACTCGGACTAGCCCGTTAACAGCTCACCGAGCACCATGATTCGTCCAAAGAGGAAAATCATGGCATGGCTCAGCCCCTCCATTTTATCAGAAACAACGTTTGAGGGACGACGATCATAAAGACGAGCCGACCCTCGACCGGACCCCTGCTATGGGCGGGGGCTCGAGGAAAGTTGGATTCGCAAGGAAACCAAACGTGCGGTCGCAGAACGACAGACCCCCGTAGGGGTCGGAATCAGGAAAGACCTTTTCCGACCCACCAAATCTCACGGCTATACCCCCGAGGGGTCCGATCATGACGAAAAGGAATCGTCGTCCCCAGGACACGCCGTGGGCGACAAAAGAAGGCCAAGGCCCTCAGAGTCCTCCCATTCGGAAAAGCCTCCAAAGGAGTATTCCACTCCTCCGCAGGCTTGGGGGCTACTATCGGGGACCAATACTAGGATACCCGAAGAGGAGGAGCTAATGGTCATCAACATTGATTCATTCGAGCAGTCAAGAGCGCGACTACAGCTCTAACCGATCCCCAGGTGCGTGGGCTCTGCCTCACCCGACCTCTGGGTCGGTGGCCCCGGCTCGCCTGACCCCTTAGGCGTGGCTCCTAGCGGAAGCCCGTACCGTCGCCAACCATTACGGGCCAGAAAGTATAACCCAAGGTCAAACTTCTGGCATCGTGCAGGGAGTGGGCACATCTCAACATGACCCGTGCCCGCGACATGTCACTCTAGGGAACTCACATCACCAATAGTGACGAACGCGTGGTCACTATGTTGCCTACTCCCTGTACGACCGCTGACCAGCACGCTGGTTCGCTGTGTCGCCCGCCGGGGCGGAATCGGACGTCGCGACCTGCTGACAACGCCGAGGTGTGGCATCAGCGGCGAACAGGCGCCCGACGTGGAGCCGTCCCTGTCACCATCTGCAGTGTCGGCGGGACCCGCATAAAGGATAAGAAAGGCCTGACGGTCCTGGAAGCCTTCCTCTCCTTGGCTCTCTCCCTCTTTTCTTTCTATATAACCTGTTCTTTCCCTTCGTCTATAAAAAGGAAAGCATGACGCCCTAGGAGAGAGGACGGCGGTTCACCACTCTATACGGTTGTAGACATCAAAACACATGTCCTAACATGACTTAGGAGCACACGCACATCAGAGACTTAGGACCTGTCCCTCTCTCGCTTATTTGTAACCCCTACTACAACTATAAACTTTCAGTGCTAGTAACACGAGCAACAGCGACGAACTGGATATAGGGACTTTCTGCCCGAACTAGTATAAACCTCGTGTCATCTAAACACACCATACAAGCCAGACGCGTAATACTAGAAATTTACTAGTTGGTAACTCGAAACACCGACAGTGTGAAACCTATGCAACATCCAGATAAAACACAAAAGTTGCAATATACATCTGAAAAGACAGATGAAACACTGAAAACAGACCTTTGCAACATACAAGTACAACAATTGCAACATATGCAACATCACGATCTACTTTTGCAACATCCGCATGAAACAATTGCAACATACCTGTGAAACACCTGAAACATACGCTCGCAACATGCGTTTTCAGCACATCGTAACATCTCATTTCTGCTTGGGAGAATGGAGGCTCGTCGGCATGGAGTTCACCGGAGGCACCGACTGCGTGAGGCGGTAGGGAGACATCAGCCACGCGACGCGACAAGGAGGCAGAGGGCAGCTGCGGCTCAGAGGCGGCTGTGCGCTGCCCTGACATGTAGGGCCGGTAGTCCGGAGCACTGTGCGTGAAACAGGGCCGGTAGTCGAGCGCCGCGGCTTGAGGCGGCCGCGCACCGCGCCTGGCAGGCAGGGCCGCCAGTCCGGTGGCCGACCGTTGCTCATCGAAAGCGGTAGGCGAGCGGAAAGGTGTTTTTTTTTGAAACGAACGAGAGGATTTGAAGGAGTCGATGGGCCAGTCCACTGCGTATCTTGGGGCTGCGTCCGATCGGGGTGGGGACGGACGGACGTCCACCCCAGCATTATCGATAGAAGTATAATCCAAGTTTAATACCTCGGGGCATCAGATACTCCCACATGATATATATAATAATGCCATTATCTCATTCTCTCAGGTCCAGGTCCTACGAACCTTATGTGTACGCATGGCAGCTTCGTCTGTTTCCATACGGCACACTTGCAGGTAATGGACACAAGTTCACACTGACACTGACTGACAGAGTCAATGGCGACGGGCGTGCTTGATAGGCGCCCCCCAACGAACACGACACGCTCGCGGCGTTCGGTCCTCGATGATTGATCGGGTATATATGCCATGGGTGTGAGGGTGTGGGTCATCCCTTCCGCCAATCCAGTACAATTCGTCGTCCGGTCGTCGTCGCCTAGTTGCTGCCAATCCAGGACCGCACAGCACAAGCTGGGAACTCGTATCGTCAGGGCATCATGAGGGGGCTGCTGCTGCTGTGGGCGTGGGCGGCCGCCGTATGGCTGGCCGTCAGCGCCGTGGCGCACCCCGGCAGAGGAGGCGTCGGGGAGCAGCCGCTGTCCAGGATCGCCGTCGAGAGGGTGGTCCTCGCCGTCAACGACGCGGCGCACGTCAAGGCGTCCCCTTTGGTTCTTGGGCACAAGGTAAACTCTAGTTCACTTCTCGCCACCACTCTTGTTCGGAAGTGGATTCGTGGTTCACTGACGGATTGTTGTGTTGTGGCGCTGCAGGGAGAGAACAGTGAATGGGTGGATGTAGAGTTCTTCCACCCGAACCCATCCGGCGACGATTGGATTGGCGTCTTTTCTCCTTCGAATTTCAGGTACCAGCTAAGCCATGGGCTAACTGATTGGCACAAAGCCACAAACCCAATCGAACGGGGACTTGGGGTATTTTATTTTCTCACGATGCTGAATTTGCAAAACCATATGATTTGACGTTCTTGTTTGGGCACTGTCAGTGATGCGATCTGTGAGTCTGAGAATACGGGTCCCCCCGTGCTGTGCACTGCACCTATCAAGGTCAGCATCTTCCCTGTTCCGTTTAACTTGACTTTGTGTACGATAGCATGTCGAGTTTCAGATTTTCTGAATGCGTACGTACAGTTTTCAACCCTGACTGGTTTTTTTCTCCCCGTATCTTCATTGCAGTACCAGTTTGCAAACTTCAAAAATGATGGCTATAACAAGACTGGAAAGGGCTATCTGAAGCTTCAGTTGATCAACCAGAGGGAAGATTTCTCCTTCGCACTTTTCTCAGGCGGTCTCTCGAAGGTAATTCTGAAAAAGACAGTATAATTCTGAATTTCTGAAGATACCTTCGTTCATGTTCTCCATTTGATGAACATAAACAAAACACTCCTGTAACAGCCCAAGCTGATTGCTGTATCCAACAAGGTAGCATTTGCGAACCCAAAGGCACCAGTGTACCCACGTCTGGCACAAGGGAAATCTTGGAATGAAGTAAGCCTTCTTGTCATTCGACAATAGCGATGATCGTTTCAGTTATATAGATAAATAGATTGACAAAACATTGTGCAGCATGCTTACAAGAAGTTATTCTAGTACTCCGCTCTGAACTCAACTCTGAATCAACAAAGGAGAAGATAAATTGTGGAAATAACTTGACTGTAGACCTGTAGTCACCAATCTAAGAACGTGACTGTATTATTGTTGTTTTTTCACAGATGACAGTCACCTGGACAAGTGGCTACGATATTACAGAAGCAGTTCCTTTCGTTGAATGGGGCGAGAAAGGAGGACGCCGGCTTCTTGCTCCAGCTGGAACATTAACATTTGACAGAAATAGCATGTGTGGTAAGCTCCAGCTGGAACATTAACATTTGACAGAAATAGCATGTGTGGTAAGCTAGTTTTTTTGCTAATCTCCGAGATGAACAAAGAAACTTTTGAAAGTTCATAGTTTACATGTGTTGTATCAGTGTTTTAATCCTAACCTGCAAACTCAGGCTCACCGGCACGAACTGTTGGTTGGCGCCATCCTGGTTACATTCATACTAGCTACCTGAAGGATCTATGGCCAGACTCACCGTATGGGTTCTGTCTTGCATTATCAATTCAAAAGTTTCCCTGTTTTTAACATGTTCTGGAACTGTGACAGATTCATCAGCTCATAAGCAACATGTTAATTTGCAAAATTTCAGGTATACTTACAGGCTTGGCCATAGGTTGATGAACGGGACCCGAATCTGGAGCAAGTCATACAGCTTCAAAGCATCGCCTTACCCTGGACAAGATTCCTTGCAACGAGTTGTCATATTTGGAGACATGGGAAAGGTACATGTTTTCTTCCATGTCTATCCTAGTTTCAGTCAGATAAAAGCATCGCCCGTGGTATTTTCATTTGCAATTGTACTGAATCTTCTGATAAACTCTTCACAGGCAGAGGCTGATGGTTCGAACGAGTTCAACGACTTCCAGCCCGGTTCGCTGAACACTACTTACCAGATCATCAGGGATCTTGAAAACATCGACATGGTGGTCCACATTGGGGACATTTGCTACGCGAATGGCTACTTGTCTCAGTGGGATCAGTTCACTGCACAGATCGAACCAATCGCTTCAACGGTGCCATACATGATTGGCAGGTCAGTTGGGTGTCTCATTTCAGTACTTCCTTGTTATGTTCCTCCCATGTATATATTCTTTGCACATCGTTTACAAGAATGAATTTTTTTTTCTGCAGTGGTAATCATGAGAGGGATTGGCCTGGCACTGGTTCGTTCTACGGAAACCACGACTCCGGCGGAGAGTGCGGTGTTCCTGCCCAAACTGTGTTCTACACTCCAGCTGAGAACCGTGCGAAATTCTGGTAATAACCACAGTGGCTCAGTCAATAAGGTGGCCACAGCAGTTTCTTCAGACGCCATGTCTTAGTTTTACTGACCGACTGAACATTTCTTAATCGTTCACCAGGTACGCGACAGACTACGGCATGTTCAGGTTCTGCATCGCAAACACCGAAGAGGACTGGAGGCCGGGGACCGAGCAGTACAGGTTCATCGAGCAATGCCTGTCGTCTGTGGACAGGCAGAAGCAGCCATGGCTCATCTTCCTCGCGCACCGTGTTCTCGGCTACTCGTCCTGCACCTACTACGAATCGGAGGGCACGTTCGAGGAGCCCATGGGGCGGGAAGCGCTGCAGGAGCTCTGGCAGAAGTACAAGGTCGATCTCGCCTTCTATGGCCACGTCCACAGCTATGAAAGGACATGCCCCGTCTACCAGGTGTGTGTGCCTTCCGTTTCCATTTTCAATCAGATCAACCACTACATGCCTTCTGAAACTTACATGTCCTCTAACGACAAACCTGATTATGATCTTCCAATTTTCGCAGTCTCAGTGCGTCGTCGACGGATCCGACCACTACAGCGGCCCGTTCCAGGCGACGACGCACGTCGTCGTCGGCGGCGCAGGAGCCAGCATTTTCGATTCTGAGTTCACCACCTCGAAGATCCAATGGAGCCACTTCACCGACTTCGACCATGGGTTCGTCAAGCTCACGGCCATCAACCACTCCTCCCTGCTGTTCGAGTACAAGAAGAGCCGCGACGGCAACGTGTATGACCATTTCACCATCTCACGCGATTACCGGGACATCCTCGCTTGCTCCATCGACAACTGCCCCCGGACCACACTGGCTTCCTGAAGTCCCACAGTAGTTGCAGAGAAGGAATTTAGTTCGTAGTTTTTGAAGAGCACCAATAAATGAGGCATTTTCTATTAATACTATATGCCTGCATTATTTTATCGTACCTACAGGCTACAGGTGACAGCGAGTGCCTTTTTGTATATGTTGCTAAAATGTGTATGTTTGAAGTATATGAGGTGCAGCTTCAAATATTCTTCTTTAAATAATGCTATGGCAACTGAGACGAAAAGGTGTTCCTGGGCCTCAAAATCGAGGGACTTTTTTCTTGTCAATATAAATTTCGGTAGAAGAAATCTGAACTACTATATACTACTATAGTATCTTTGGAGTAAGAATATACTTTATCCGTTTCAAATTATATGTCGGTTTGACTTTTTTTATATACCAAAAAAATCAAAGTAAGTTATAATATGGAACAAAGGGAGTACTAACTATGCCGTTGCCTAGGGCCCAAGAAAAGCGTCGTTGCTGACCTGGCTCCTAGGTCCTCGGCTCCTCGCTGTCACCGTGCCTCCGTCTAGGGCCCCTCTCCTTCTTCCTCTCCGGTGCGTCTGCTGGCAATAGGAAGAAGAGGGGACCCATCTCTCAGCCTGACTTATCAGTCATGGTATAGTATTTTTCTTTCACAACAAATTAGCGAACAATACTTTCAGCCTAGCTTTTCAATGAAACGAACGGGCCCCAAGGGGAGAGGTGCTCCTAGGCACTCCCAACGAGGACAATTACTCCAGGTCATCAATCTTGTCATCGGTGGTCGCGGAGAGGAATATTTTGGGGTTGATCATTGAATCCGGTATAAGGACTGCACTCCAACTTCGGTGTTCAACAATGTTGTGTTCATCTAGAGCATCAGCTGCACCGAAAAAACACTAGGAAAAAGACAATGAAAAAAATCTGAATAGACTATTATATATAGAAGAACCTTTATATGTAATTTAAGAATATAAATCTTTATATGTAATTTAAGAATATATTGTGCCCAGTTTCAATTTTAATATAATTCTCTCTTACGAAAACTACTGTACTATATTCGCTCAAAAACAAGGAGCCTTTTATCCGTGTGACATTATAAAAGATGGTCGCAGCCTATATGTCACTAAAAAGTTTGAACGCACCTATGTGCCATGACACTTTACTTTTTTTTTTCCTCCCAAGCCATTCCGTCCACTTTTCCATCTAACGGTGTCAATCTGCGTTGGAAAAAGTCTAAAACACCCTCACGTTGCTTCTTCACCGTGCCCTTCTTCATTTTCTCCGCCGGTCATCTTCGTCCCGTCCTCCACAAAGTCTTGCCGGGCTGGGGCGCCAGAGGTGGAGCCGGCCATGCGCCGGGCGGGCGCCCAGCCGCCTCGCGAGACGTCGTGGTCGGCGAAGCCTAGCCGCTTCATTGCCTCGAGCCTCCATTCTTTGGCCATACACCGACGGCACCCAGCGATTCCACTGCCCCGGCCACCACGACCGCGATGGTCGCACGGCGGCGACGCGCGCTTACGCTGCGAACCACGTCATTGCCACCCGCCGACCATGAGCTCCACCCACTGAACTTCGTCGGACCCAATTAGCTTAGGCTCTGCAGCGCCAAAAGCCGCCTCAAGCGAGGCGAGGCCCGCCCCTCCCTGCGCCTCCGTGTACAGACGGCCGAAAAGACGAAGACGACGGCAGGCAGGAGGCCGGCCAGCCATGCCCATGGTCGGAACCAAGCGTGCACGCTTCGGCGCGGCATGAGCGGTCGGAGATGGCGAGGGCAAGGAACACGCAGAGCGGGAGGAAGGCCGCCCGGGCGCGGCGAGGAGGAGCTGGCGAGGCATGGGCGCGACGTGGTCACTGGTGAGCGCGCCAGTGGAGGCTCGGCGGGCGACGCGTGACCTGGCTGCTTGGGGGGAGCTCGGCCCCTGGTCGCCGGAGCCGCGCTGCGCGAGCTGCGACTCATGAAGCGAGGCCTCGACCATGTGCCCGTCTTCTTAGGGCCCGCGTGCGTGTCGGTAGGGCTCGGGCGGCGGCGGATCACGAGAGGAGAGGGAGCCGGGCTCGCCGGAGTTGGGAGGGGGCTTGCCGGAGTCGGGAGGCCGGCGCATCGCGGAGAGGGCCGCGCGGTCGGAAGAAGATCCCGATGGGAAAAAAAAATAGAGAGCAGTTTACGCCTCGACAGAAGGACATTTTGGACGTTTTCACGTGTCAGGACTGGCAAACAGCAAAAATCAAACAGAAGGTGAACGGAATGACTTAGGAGGAAAAAAAAAGTAAAGTGTCATGCTATATAGATGCGTTCCAACTTTTTAGCGTCACGTACGCTACAACCATTTTTTTTTATAGCACACGGTTAAAAGGCTCGTCTCGTGGAGGGCGGGCCCAAATGGATCCCTCCTCTCCGTGGTCAAGAACTCAAAATCCGTTCAGTTCCCGCATCACCCAAAGCCCCAAAATCCAAGCTGCCCGCCCGCTTCCGCACTTTCGCTTTTCGGAGTGACCGCACGGTCGCCACTCGCCCCTTCCTCCCGCACCGCCGCCACTCGCCCCTTCCTCCCGCACCGCCGCCAACACGCAGTTGTAGGGAGCGGGTCCAAATCGATCCCCGAGGTCAGGATCAGTGTCCCGCCTCCCGTACTTTCCATGGACGCCGACGACGGTAGCCGTGCCACCCCGCCACTGGACGCCGCGGCCGCCGCCTTCAAGTCCCAAGTCATGGAGCTGCAGGACCTCGTCCTCGCTCGCAGCAGTACGCTTCTCCTCCGTTTACCCGCCGCTCACCTAAACCCTAGGTGGGTACTGACCCGTTCCCCATTTTCCACACTTTTTTCAGTGTTCCCGGCCACGGCGCTGCCCGAACTCGCCAACGTGGACGCATTGGTGACTGCGATGGAGTCGCAGGTGGAAACCATCCGCCGCCGCCTTCAGGAGGAGCTTGACGCCATCCCCAAGGCCAAGGTATAGATGGTGCTCCTTTGAACTGGGTCCTGATGTTCCTACGGATGCTGACCCTACCAGTTTCACCCATGCTGTCAATATCACAATCAACAATAATCATGTTGTCCTCCTCATAATCATACCATGTTTCACTTGCATTAACTACGATGTTAGCATAAGGAGCAAGGTACTCATATCCGAGAGATACGTGTGGCTATTCGAATCGATTTACATCTAGCTGGGTAAACCCAGACACACGATGCATCACCCCAAAGGGATCGCACACATCAACCTTTCCCACATTCACTGACTCCACAGGCCACGTCCCAGACGGTTACTCAACTGTGATTATTGCTGCAATTATCCATATCTGACTCCTACCCCAGGAGCCAAGGAAACAGTTCAACAAACCGCGTAGTGGTGCCCTTAGGGTGAGGCAGCACATAAGCTTCCGGGTTCAACCATGCTCGGGAACCGATACGTGAGTGGAACTTTCGAACTTGTCCGATAGCACTAACAATGGAACGGTCCTTAAACGACACGGACATGACTACTACTGGCTCTGCTGCCCTACCAATATCCACAAGTCATTTCCTGCACGGTCTCAGGTTCATCATCCACATCATGTTTCCAGTGATAATAAATGAATATAAGTAACCCTACACTCGAGAGCGATGGAAGCATCACTCCTAGCAAAGCAATTACACGAGCCTATCATGCTAGTTGGGACTCAGGGAATCAGATCTTTATGCAACTGGATTTTAGTCAGTGCCTACATAACCTAATGCACATATAAATACTAGATGAATACTAGTTGAGCTCAAACAAAACTTCAATTGAACATCTTAAAAAAAGACTAGGGAACTATAATTCATACACTTGGGTGTTTCTCCCTTGTTCTTGGTTTTACTGTTATAGTTGACAGGAACTAAATTTATAAATGCATTTGGCATTAAATTTTGAAATGCTTAAACAATTTCGCGCAATTTTCCTTTTCACGTGTACTGGTTGCTAATATTTCTGCATTTTCTCTAGAAAGAAACCCAATTAGAACCTATTCTTCGTCATAAACCTTCATTGTTCATAATTGTTATTATTATCCTTGATCATTCTCTTAGCATTCCTTTTTTTTTTACTCAGTGAAGGTTTGTTCCATAACGTCTCTACCTGGGCTTTGCCATCTGATGAGAAAATTTTCCCCCGATGCTTAGTAACCTGAATGTATGCTTAAGCAATATTAAACTATGTGCGTAAACACCAGTGGTGTTACATTTTGTTTGCTTGGAAAATTGTTTGAGGAAAAATGGATATATCAATTCTATTCAATCTCTTGGCAGTAGATGGTTTTTTTTCTTACTTGCTACTTTATTGCATCCATATGCAGAAGCTAGTCCAGCGGTCCTTGAAGGAGGAAGAGAAGCTGCAGCACATACTTGCGAACTTACCTTCTGGAATGCGCAAGGATGCTTTTGCTACTCAGCTTGAACAGAGCTCATCAAGGTATTTTCTAAATACAGTTAAATATTTTGTTTCTGCCTTCATTTAGCAGTAACAGCATGCTGTTTGTCTTCCAGGATGCTGCCTCGTTTTGACTCTTCTTTTACTGAAGCTAATGAATGTGATGTGAAGATTAAGGATGAGCCAGTTGCAGCTCCTAGGGTAAAGTTACATATCTTGTGGACTATTCATTGATTCTAGCTGGATTTCTTTTTCATAAGAGTTGTAGTTGTTGCCTGAACTTGTGCTTTCTTGTATTGCTGAGAAGAAGGGAAGAGCACCTGCACCTCGTTGGTATATCTCATCCGAGGAGCTTGATTCGCTCTCATCGTTAGTTCTCAATCTACCTCGTCTTTTTCTTGCATTCAAATTCAACCATATGTTATTGTGACTGGATGTGAATTATGTATTCTGTTGTCACGCAGGTACATGAGGGGAAGACTGACTTTGGAAAAGGTTAATATCGCAATAAATGAAGTGGCTTCATATGCAGAGGCCAATGCTCATCTTGTTACATGCCCTAAGAAAAAGGTTTGTTTCATTCAATTCCTCTTTTTGACAGTGAACAACTGTTTCTATTATATGATTGCCTGTTGAGTGTGTTGTCAATGTTCTTGCAGTTGTCAGAAGATACATGGGATAAAGCTTTGGTAAGCTCTTGGCATATTTTTTTTTGAACCGAGGCATTCTCCATTTCCATTAAGCATATAACGGAAAATGCCAGTTTGAGATGACTGAGGCATATAACCGAGGCACAGTTTGAGATGAGTTCAGGCAGAAAAAGAAAATGCCAGATGCAGATTACCTGCTTTTTAGTTATGACAATCTGATTCAGATCATATAACCAAAAGCAGCAAACGAACATGTGACTAACCAATGGCCTAGCGCTACACACCATACAGTTTGAGCTCCACACATCCAAAAAAACTATCCATACAGATCATCACATCTGCCATCCTGCCTTGCTGGATATTACCTTCTCTCTTGGATGCCAGGTCTGATCTTCCCCATCCTGATGCTCAGTGCCCGGCAGCTGCTTCACCACCTCAGTTGCTTGGCTAGGAGCTTCGACGCAATCTACAGTGTTAGCATGTTTACTGCTTCCTTTGTTATTAGCTGGCTGATGCCTAGGAACCTCCCCTGGCTGTCACCTATTTACTCCCCCTCTTTATTGCTAGACGGCTGATTACCCAACCAAGCATCAAAGCAGCAATAAAATCTCTCATACTTTCCTTTCTTCAAATTCTGCATTAAGGCATACTACAACTGTTGAACCTGGGTTGCTCCTCAGCAACTCAGCTTTGTAGTCATAGGCCCTTGTGTATTCTCCCTTCATAGAATCCAAAGCAGCATTAAGTACTAAAGACTTGGCCCTCTTGCACTTGGATAAGGACACATCATCAAGGAAGTCTTTCAGCACAGCTTGCTTTATGAGGTCCACCTTCCAAGTTGGGTTATCCCTTATCTGATTGTAGTAGTGCTTGGCTATCCTTGTGGAAGTCACCAGTTTGTTATCCCTCCTAGGTGGGCAGGTGTGGACATCATCAAATCTGACAACCTTGAACCACTCTGATCTGCTAGTCTTTGATCCATATATGAGCCAATTGCAACTAGTCCAAGTACAAATAGCTCTGACCCTAGTCTTCTCATCCTTGATGAAATTGAGATGCCTATGTGTCTTGAGTCCATACTTGATCAGGGCTTTCTTATACTGCCTGCTGCACCTGAACGCCATCCCAAGAGCAAAAACATGAATTGGTGCTTTGCTGTCATACCTGTTCTGCTGACTCTTCCACCTCTTTGTTTCTCCTTCACTGTTTTCCTCATATGAGTACTCATCACTTGAATCACATATTGGACTTCCTGGGTTTTCTAAGGGCCTGTTTGGGACTACTCTGCTCCACCTTTTCCAGCTCTGCTCCACCAACTCCACCACAGAGCAGCTCCACTGTGGAGTTTCTGGAGCAAGTGGACCTGTTTGGCACGCAGTTTAGCTCCAGCTCTGGAAACATGAGGTTTCTATAGGAAAGGTCTACTATGCCCCTGATCGATGTTTGGTGTATGTTCTGTTGTATGCAGAGCATGTGTAATTGAATATTTTTTTTACCAATTCAAATATGGTGTAAATTGCTAAATGAAATTAATAACTAAAATTGCAAAAACAAATTTGAAAACTGAAATTGCTAACTGAAAGCACATAATTATAATCAAATTGAAATTGCTATTTGAAATCACAAACTGAAATTGAAAATTGAAATCAGCAGCACTGACTGAATGAATCAAACTGGGGGAAAAAGTTACTTGTTCTTGCGACGCTTGGGAGCAGGTGACCCTTGCACCGCTCAGGAGCAGGGGAGGGCCGCACCTAGATCTGGGAGGCGGCCTGATTAGCGAGGAGAGGCAGACGGCTTGATTAGCAATCATGTGGAAACGGATGGTGGCTCGCCGGCCAAACCGAGCAGCAACCAAACCTGAGGACGAGGACGGGGATGGGGATGGATGGAGCAGGACGAAGAGGGAGGAGGGGGAGGAGAGAGGAGCATGGAATGGCATAACGATGAGCTTACCTACGGGAGCAGGGGAGAAAGGAGCGGAAAGGCAGCGGCCGGCGGGAGCTGAGCAGCAGCCCGGCGCAGAGTGGCAGCACGTGCACGACGTGGAGGAGAGCGGCCGGCGGGAGCAGCAGTCCGGCGCGGAGGGGAGCGGCCATCGGGAGCAGCAGTCCGGCGCCGAGGGGGAGCAGGGATTTGCTGGGCCGGCCTGTCACGGCTTGGTGGCGGTAGGGCCAAGCGCGGCCGAGCCGTGACGGGGAAGAATGGGAGAGAAGCGCCGCAGGCGAGTCGGGACGGGGAAGAACGGGAGAGAAAGAAAGAAACGAAACGGTATTTGCGCAACGAGTGGCAATTGCGGGTAATTACCTCCAACTCCACGAGGACATACGAAACGCTGGTTTGTGGAGTACCCTCTGAGGAGCTCCGCGAAAAACATGGAGTTGGACCAAAACTCCATCTTTTTTTGGGAGCAGAGTTTGTGGAGTTGGACCTGTTTGGCAGGAAAGTTTAGGAGCAGAGCTACAAAAGGTGGAGCAGAGCAGTCCCAAACAGGCCCTAAGTTGGGAACTTCTGCGACCACCAAAGCTTTCTCTTTGATTTCTCTAAGCTGACTACCATGCAGACCAAACTTCTTAGCTTTGATGTTCCTCTTAATTTCCTTGGCAAACCTCCTCAATTCTATTACTTCTTCATCCTCTGCAGAACTGTCCTCATCTGTAGGTTGCTTGTACTCTTCATCTGAAGTGTCATCTGAACCATGATTGCCACCCTGTTCATCAGCACTGTCACAATCTTCTTCCTCATTGCCACCCTGTTGTTCATCATCAGTGTCACAATCTTCTTCCACAGAACTACCCCCTTGTTCTTCAGCAGTGTCACAATCTTCTTCCTCATTGCCACCTTCTTCTTCATTCTCATTCTGCAATTTCTCTGAGGAGAAATATAGATCCATTCTTCCTCAGCACCACCAATCTCCTCTGCCTTGTCATCAAACACTTGGTCAACCTTAATTTCCTGAGCTGCTAATTCCTCAACATAAATGTCTTCAATTTCGCCATCTGTTGTTTGATCTGCCATGAGTTTACATGAACCATCATCAACAAGTAGCAGTGGCCCATTGGACAGCTCCCTCCCTGGTTTCAGCCAATGCATGCGTGCTACATTGTCAATTTTGAAGTGATCTTCTAGGTGACCCTTGATCTCAGGAAGCGAAATCTTGTCCGAGTCAATGTAACTCATAGCATTCTCTCCCCCAACATAAATGATCAGTCCATCAATGTTCACAAAAGACCCACCAAAGTGGAACTGAACCGCAAGATTATGAAATTATCCATCCTAGCACATAAAGGACATCTCCATCAGTTGTAAAGAACAAACGTCATTCTCCTATATGCTAACCACAGTATGATTTATTACTAGCTACCCTAAAAACACAATCTTGAACTACTGCTACATCATAACAGAACCCTACGCATTAGTCCATCATACTGCATAAACCCTAACAACGTTCATGCCTGTAATCCGACGGACCAGACTACACAAAAAACACAAGTATGCATCTAGAAATCAGCCAATACATGACCACAACAACAATTCAAGTGCTACACAAAATCCCATTAACCCACAGTACCCATCAAATCCGCATACAAAATTGGGGAAATCAAGGGGACAAGGAACACAGGTGGACTCACCTTGACCTGCCAAAAATCTTCAATCTTCTCAGGACTACTTCCTCCTGATCATGGCCTTGTAGTCCGTGCCGCCGGAGAGAGAAGGTGCGCGCTGGCTATGAAGGGAACGAGAGAGAGAGACGGGCGGAGAGGGAGAGAGGAAGGGGAACGGTTTGGTTTTTGGGGGCCAAATGGGTCTGACAGGAGGGTTCGGCCGCCAGCGTGTCATTTGGTTCCAGGTTGGAGCGCCACATAGGCAAAACCGGGTGCCAAAACCACATGTCATTTGGTTCCAGGTTGTAGTGCCACGTAAGCAGAACCGGGTGCCAAAACCACTGTAGCGGGTTCATTAAACGGTTTGAAAAACTTTAGAGTGCTCGTTAGACGGTTTCGAAGTTCAGGGGGTGGAGTAGCCACAGTGCCAAAGCGGAGGGGGTTATGTAGAAATTTTCCTTTTTTATTTATATTTGTGTTTTTAGAGGCAGTGGTTTTATTATACCCTCTATCCCTTTTCTTGCAAAAGCCAAGATTTTCCTGGTCTTGGCTTTTCCCTTTTATATTGGCAGATATTTTAACCTTCTTATTTTCTATTCTTTTCTTTTCGGATTCCACCAGGATAAAGGTCCTCTGTTCAGAGGGCTCATCCTGGAACCTGGATTCACTCAACTGGAGGAGGAGATTGCATTTCCATATTACTCTCAACTGATTCAGTATGAGAGTTATGTATAATTTCTTTTTGTTTAATATGAAGGTTATACCTAGCCAACTCTAAACCTTTTAACACATCAAACGTTTCGAAATCCAAAGTCATGATCAGTTATAACACCCATATCACTAGTTAAAGAAGTAAAGTAACTTCTTCAATGGGAAGCATAGAAAACAAGTTGCTATGAGAATCGTTACATTCCAGATTGTTACATTCCAGATTTCTATTCCTTGCCATCTTCTCATTCCTTTCTATGGTAGTCAATCAGATATATTTTCTTCTTTTATTTGAAAAAATAAATTTATTTGTATATTTTATTCAGGAACTAAGGGACATTGCAGCAAAAGAAGCAGTAAAGGGCAATCATTTCTTCCTGGAAGCAGATATAAAAGGACCTGGTCTAAAACTTGACAATACTGGCAAAGCTATTCTTACTGTAAGTATATACAACTTTGGCTACTTACTGCAACGATGTGTAGATCATGTCACTATATTTTTTAAATAACCATTTACATCACTGAAGATAATTAAGGTTAGATAGAATGTTTGGCCTTTATGCAGCTGTTATTTGGGAAAATCTGTTGTTTCTTTTGCCCTTCTGGATGTATAATCAAAGTAATCTAAATGTGTGTTGTCAAACTTGAACCACCACTGAAGAAGAGAGAAGAGAAAATGATACTATAATTTTACGTTAAGTGTTAGATGAACAAATACACAATTACAAACATGCAGTTTTGTTATGGCTTTTATACCTTATGCTACAAACCATGGATACTCTGCATTCCAGTCTGCAACCCTTCAGAACAGTAGGCTATAAGATGCACTGGTTAGGGCAATTATCTTGCAATACCCTCGACAAAGTTTGTCATCTCAAAAAGATGTAAATATGTTTGATAGGCGTTGGAATCGAACTTGCTGGTCGTGGCATACCCGTTTTCTTAGCAATGTAAGTTGCTTACATTGACTTTCTTCCAGGTCCTTCGCCATCTTGGGCGCTTCCATGAAGTTCGGATCGGGCACCATCGGGTCTTTATACTCTCAAAGCAGGCCTGAAGATATCTCGTTTGTTTTGAGTCGGTGCACATTCTGTAATCCGGCAATATCCGGTAGCCTCCAAACCGTAATATTGCAAAATGCATCTCACATGCGCTTACTTGATTCAGAGATACCTGTGCTTTCATCAGTGATCTGCTTGGCGGTGTGTTTTCATTTGTACCGTGGTTACATTAGGCCAAAGTTCCCATGGCATGTATATGTGCGGTCGCAAGCTTATCCATGCCGTGCAAGCTCTAATTTCCTGAATGAGTAATGTGAGGGCATGCTGTAATTTCAGCCCTTTTCCTCTTTTTGGAGCTGTGTGCAGAGATACCTGGACGAGCGTGATGTTTCATAGAATAGCTAGTGTTGCAGATTGCAGAGCATCAAGTTTGATTGCCTGGGCAACCTATATAGTTATGGTAATCTTTGCTTGGAAGCCTGTACCAAGGTGTAGAGGCAACAGAAATTTGCTGCCTGCTCTAGAAAATGAAAGTGAGAGGAAATGTCCTTTTTTGTTGTTGCTGTGCTCATTTGGCAGCCATCTTCAGCTGTTACAGTATTTGCTTTGAAGCTAAACTTCTGACCAGTGAACTGCTTTGCATTGAATTGCGTTATGACTAGCCTATATCTGTTGTTCGAGCCGTGAAACAGGAAATGGTCCCCATGGCTTGCGTCTTAGCATGCTACCCCTGTTGGGCGGCCCTGGTCCGGTGTTGCCTCTCCCTCCCTAATGTCTCATTTGAGTTATATATAAGTAAGACTAGGTTTCGACTTCGAAGTATTAGTCACCATATACATTTGTATTCCTTTATTAGTTGAAAAAAATATCTTTTGCAAATAGATTGTTTATTTATATAATTAGAATTGTCCTGTTTCCATGGGCCCTAATTATATCCATTCGCACAAATTTCATATTGCTAGCATCGACCATATCCTTGGCTTAATCGTACTGTCTCTCTCTCCCTTTTTTTTCCTCACGTGCAATTTCTGTCAATGTCAAATGAAGGTAGGTTTTAGTTTGTTCTTTGTGAGCTCCATCCCACGATAAAATCAATGTCTTAAGTCTTTCATAATTTTTTTAGTTTCTTAGCCCTCTTATGAATTTGGGATCATTTTATGCCTTCTCTTATGTATTTATAGTTACCTTTCCCCCAGAGGCGAAGCTCTGTTGAACGTAAAACGAAAATTACTGCTAACCCCTAGTTCTTCACCTGCTATGCACCCCCTCTGCCTAGGCTTCTGCACCCACAATAGGTTGGGGTCTAGATGTTTCACAAATTCTTTAGTTTCTTTAAGCAAAGCAAGATAATATAAATTTGTTAGATTGAAGTTTATATTATATTTTTTATCATTTCCCAAAAATACAAATTTAGAATTGCTATTTGGGATTTTGGGTAATCTATCTCTTATAAAGCTAATCCTCACTACAAATTCTATCTCACACATATAAGTCATCCATGTCATCTTCTGGTACCTATCACGTCATCTTCCACTAGTAACTATGCCATCGCATTAACTTCCAACCTCTTAATACAACTAATTTTGATAGGAATGGATGTAAGAATATGTAGATGATTTAATTTATACATGCAACAGTTTTATTTTTAAGAATCTCACAGCAACGCGCAGGGTATCCTTCTAGTACAAGTGACGTAGCGCATCTCCCTTCATGTTGCTCTAGCTTCGCCACTGCTTTCCCCCTAAAGCATTGCTAGTCATCGTTGCTGCTTTAAGTAGCCATGTTTGTTTCTAATGTGATAATGACAATAAACACCTATGGATAGAGGTGTTACATCCTCATCCACACCAAGCCACCATGATAAGTTATGGTCGGTCATAAGAGTAGGCTCCATATTTTTAGGACAATATTGTTATGGTCATAGTCTATGAAATTATAAGTGTACATGAATTAGGTAATAATGCATGAACATGTTATCAAAAGGTTTTCTACAACGCCCTGTATTATATTTCTAAAAAATAGTTACCTAAAAATAGTCGTGACATAATATACAATATATTATATATGTACAACCAACATGTGTTTGCCACTGGTTTGAGTGCATGTTGTCTTTTCACTAGGGCGAGTGCCTGAAAAAAATAAGTCAAAGTAGCAATTTTTTAGAAACAAACAACATTTTAAAAAAATAAGAGTAACCAAAATCTTCTTTTTGATGGTTGTAAGGCTCATCAAACAACATTTCGCTAAGGTTGAAGACATTAAATCACATCCGCCTCAAAAAAATGAAAGAATAGAAGATCCACTTATTTCTCGTTATTCATCGATGTCTATATATAGCCACCTTCTACGTCTCTCTTCCTCTTTTCTCTCTTGGTCTAATTGTTACATGCAAAGCTCTCTCTTGCGCAATCTTGTTTTCTTGATTGCCACAATTCTAGCTCTGCCGCTCTCCAAATCAGGTAAGATCATATCTTGTGACTAATTTAATTCCTAGTAACCACTAGATATTTTTACATAATGGATTGAATTCGTTGCAATGAATACGAAAGAAACTATTTTGTCCCCATCGACTTTTATTTGGTTTAAGAAACCTGCAAAAAGGTTATTAGATCAGGCACAAAATCATTGTAAAAAAATATGTGCATGAAATTGAGTTTGTTCCTGTCCCATATCAATCTATTAACACGCTTGCCGGTTCATTTTAATCTTAACCAATTGATGAAATGTGCCAGATATTATAAAATATTTTAGGTGGAGAAATTTATTAATTGCATGGATATGAATGTTTGTTCTTGCGCACTTTGGAGCCAATGTGGATGATTGCTTGATTTTGTCTATGTGATTTCTTGTTATTTAGCTTGCTTCATGTAATTTTTCAATGGAAGACAATTAGAACGGGAAAAGTTCCAATTTAGTATGTAACACATTCAAATGTCACAGGAAACTACTATAGGATTCAAACTAGGTACTATCTTGATGTAAAATGTCCTCATTTGAGGTTCTTTGTCATATAAATATAGTTCTTCTATCCACAGCGGTGTACCATTCAATATTAGTGCACAGTTACGTTGATTCATGGTTTTATATTGCATTATGTTGGCAGTCTTGATTGTCTTTCTTAAATGAGAACATACGGCTTTCGTTAAAATAACCCCTATGGGGATGTGCTGGGTGTCTTTTTTTTTTATGTGCGTGCCCGATGGGGCTTTTCGGTCTTCCGGATTTTCCGGTACATATAAATTTCTTTCCTTCCTTCCTTCCTTCCTTCCTTAATCGAGAGGCAGAGCTCCTGCGAGGTTTTCGGAAAAAAAAAGAGAACATACAGCACGTAGAGCTGGTCCATCGACGTAGCATATGCCTTTTAGAGCAATAAGATAGACTTTTACCCAGTAGACTACTGTATTGAGTCTTTGACTTACTTCCATTTTCTTGGATCATGCAGTTTTAAATGTTGTGACAAATGCCACATCATTTTGAATTTTGATGTTGTACACACCATCTTCTAGTTTGTCAAGCATGCTTGCGTCATGCCTTGACAAAGCTGCAATTTATTTTGTTGCTTGTAAATGCACCCTATTTCTATTACTGTTACTAGTGCTTTGAGTTTTGCTTCATGTAATCCGATGCTTCTATGATTGGCAACGGAAGGGCAGTCCATTGTCGTGCTACTGGTCTGTTAGCTTTTCGCAGAGAGATCTTCTTTTAAGAGTGAAAACGACCTCCTAATTGAGATTGTTTAATGCACCTGAAGTTTCAAACCATGACATAAATTCGATGTCGATGTACGTCCACGTTCCTGAATTTTGTGCCTTCTTCTTCCAACTTATTTTGCTGAGCTATCAAGGTAGGCAGAATCTTAATTTGTTTCCTTTTTTTTTTCCTGGAGTTATATGTACCCCATTTTCCTCTTTGAGACTGTCCAAGAATGTCACTTCACCATTATTAAGAAGGAAATAGCAGGGAGTTTGAAAACAACCAAAGCTAACTAACCAAGAAGATACCCTTAACTTGTATGATTCTACAAGGACATTAGCAAACAATTTTGGTTCTTCTTCTTGAAATCAGTGAACATGTTGCCTTATGTGATTAGAATTTCATTAGAGGATACCAATCGCCAAAGTTACAGCAGATGTCACTGCTTACTGCATTGTCTTCTTGGACAAGTATGGTCACACAATCCTGTTCCTTCGTTGTCTCTACCATTGGTCTTTCTTGGTGAGGCTAAACTTCTTTAGTTGTCGTCATTGTTGCTTGCTAGATTCTTTTATATAATACATGTAGTATATTACTGCATATTCATGGTGTGAGCAGTGCAGTCGACCTTGCTGTCTTTGAATCCTAATTGACTATGATTGTTTGGGTTAAATATATATATGTTCTGCCTTGATGTGTGTGTACAGAGGATTCTGTCGTTCTTCGTAAGACTTTGTCTCATCGGTTGTTGTTGACTTGAAGCCACCCATTTCATTAATCCCTGATAGCTAGCATAACCTTTTCTTGACTTCCGAACCCATAAGTTGCTTGATGCATTGGATTCCTCTGCAAGTGACTATTACTTACGGAGTATCATTTATCAATGTCTATGTGAAGTGTATATAAAGACTGTTCCCTTTGCAATTGCCTGGTGCTGCTGATCTAGCAACTACGGGGCTTCTTAAAGTATGTATATGAACATTGTCTCCTCTTTTTTTTTCTTCTTCTTCTGAATTTGTATGAACAGGAAGCAGAAGTATGTTGTTACTCTGGTGCTTTGCTTTCATTGCAAATGGGCTATGATGGCAGGAAGGTGCTCAATCTAGGTGTTTCTTTGTAGCCAGGAGAATCTGATTATCGCCCAGCCAAAAAACAAACCCTTAGGCTATTCGACGGTCTTTTAGAGAAAGATCAGCATGGGTTCCTATGCTAATGGCAGCACCTGTGGAGATGATGATCCTCCATCAGTGGAGGAGCTGAAAGAACCAGCTTTTCCTCTTAAAACAATGCCACTGCATGCTAATGGCTGGTTGAATGACATGAAGATATCCTCGCCTACTGCTATCCGAGTGAACATTGGTAACAATGTTGCTTTTGATCCCATCTACCGAGCTTGGACTGTGAGTCCACATCTTACTTATCGATACCTCGTAGCTGTAGCCTTGAAACTGTAAGAGTTGGTACTAATAGCCAATTTCTTGTCATTTGCAGAAGAAGTATCCTTCAGCTCTAAACGCATTTGAAAAAATTGTTACCTATGGCAAAGGCAAGAAGATAGCGCTGTTCTTGGATTATGATGGAACCCTCTCGCCAATTGTTGATGAACCTGACCGTGCTGTCATGTCTGATCAGGTAATTGCATTGCAGCACCAGTCTCTTAATTAAAGAGTTCCCTTCCCTCAGTTGAATTTTACAGATGCGGGAGGTGGTGAGGAGTGCTGCACTGCATCTTCCCACTGCGATTATCAGTGGAAGGTCTTGTGATAAGGTGAATACATTATAGATTATCCTTCCCCGTGGATTATATTTTATACCTAAACTTATCTCTTCCTGGGCTTTAACTTAACTCCTTTTAAACTATTTTAGGTGTTTGATTTTGTTAAACTCACCGAACTATACTATGCTGGTAGCCATGGAATGGACATCATGGGTCCAGTGGGAAAAACTGGTTCTGTCACTGACCATAGAAGCAGCACTAACTCCAGTAAGAAGCAGGTGTGAAAATGCTTTTAACAATTAAGCCAACTAGTTGTGATGTATTTTCCAATCTTTAGCATGTTTAGTGCAAAGAACAATGTATAATTTTTCAATTTGGAGTTTCTTTTTCTCTTATTACTGTTTTTGGTAGAACAAGGAGATGAAGATCTTTCAGGCTGCCAGCGAATTCTTACCAATGATTGACGAGGTAGAAAATTTTCAGACTTCACAACTCCATATACTGAGATTAAGGTATTCAATGCAGCGCCGTGTGATGCAGGTCTTTAGATTGCTCGTTGATAAGGTCAGGGGAATTGATGGTGCGAAAGTTGAAAACAACAAATTCTGCGTGTCGGTGCACTACCGCAATGTCAATGAGAAGGTGAAAATTTTAATTTACTAAAAAATGATGTGAAGGGAGAACCACTCAGACTCGGTCACATTCACAGGTTTCCTGCTTCTGATTCATTTGATTTTCAGGACTGGCCACTGGTTGCACGGTGCACAGACGACGTCCTGAAAGCCTACCCTCGCCTCCGACTGAGTCATGGACGGAAGGTATACATCCCTGTAAATGAAAGCCACTGACACTGCGTGCTTGCTCTTGAAGGAGGTGAAACGAAACTGACTGCTGCAATGCAGGTTTTAGAAGTTCGTCCAGTGATAGACTGGAACAAAGGGAAGGCTGTGGAGTTCTTGCTGGACTCCCTAGGGCTAGCTGACTCTGACAAAGTGCTCCCTATCTACATCGGAGATGACCGAACAGATGAGGACGCGTTCAAGGTCCGTGGTTTGGTGTAAATGCAGACAATCCATGCCTTTTTTTTTTCCATGTAGATATGGACTTGATGGTTTAAATCTGCAGGTTTTACGGGGAGACAAACGGGGTTTTGGAATTTTGGTGTCATCTGTACCAAAGGAATCTCATGCCTTGTACTCCCTGGTGGATCCACCTGAGGTAAATTCATGATTTGCGCAGGGCTGACTGTATCACTTACTGCACAACAATCTATATAATTGGATTGCTTTGTTCTTCGCCATATATCAAACTTTACACAATGCATTAGTTTTCAGGGGAAAAAACCCTGTTTGTGTCAGATACTGAACTCTGTGCCATTCCAATTGTAGGTGATGGACTTCCTGAAGAGACTAGTGAAATGGAAGGAGGAAGAAGAAGCATAATGAATAACAATGAAGTACTCCCTCTATTCTAAATTATAAGATGTTTTGGTTTTTTTAGATACATAAATTTTACTATGCATTTAAATATACACCATATCTAGATACATAGTAAAAGCAATGTATATAGAAAAGCTAAATTGTCTTATAATTTGGAATGGAGGGAGTAGTTGTTAATATCTGTTGATGATTTTAGGGTTAATCTCTGACAAAGAGGACTAGGGAACTCAACTGCACCTGATGTCAATTGTACAGTCTGTAGCCAATCTCTTTATTGTAGCCTGGTAATACATTACTGAATTGTATGTCGTCATGTCAAAGAATCCACTCTGTGCCAGTCAGTGTTATGGACAATAACCATCAACAACTAATTAAGCATTATATTTGAAGGAGTTTCTAAGTTATTCTCGGTGGTTTAAAGATTGTTGAATTTCTTCACAGAAAAATCCCTTGCAAATTATACAATGAAAACATAACAAGCATTATTGTTTCGAATATTGAGTAAAAGTAGCTCAAACTACACCAAACACATTTTTACAGGATGTGAAAAAGTAAAGGGAAAAAAAGAAACTTCCTCCAATTTGCACCTTCATCATAGACATTATTCTGCTAAATGGCAAACCTTTCCTGTCCACGTCAAAGCACAAAACAGCCTCCTTTTAAGCCCAAGTATCCAGCATACCTCAGTTTTATGCCTTCTTATTAATCAAGGGATCAACAATGACTTGAGGTTTGAAATCTGGTTTCAGGTACTCTGAGAGCAAGGAAGCATACATCTCATATCGAGCAGTCATGCGGAAGGCCCACTTGTCTTTGATCTGGCGGCATAGGTTGAGGTCCATATCGGAGATGATCAAGCCATCCCGGTAGCGTGATAGAGATGGGGTGCAAGAGGCATCAGGTGCTGAGAAATGGCTAGATCCATAGAAATGGCCAAAGTCTGCGTGTTGAGGTTTCCCATCACCAGATGTGAATGGATTTGGGAACACTTCTGTGCCAACCCGGTTAATTGATCCAACGAAGTAGCTGTTTGCAATTGCGGCGTTCCTTGCCTGAAGTAGCAAAAAAATAATCATGCGCCCCATAAATGTAAGATATGCATGTATATAAAAAAAGTGTTCTATAACACATGGATTTGTCTGACCTCAATTGGCCACATTGGTTCACTGAGTTCACCAACCGTCGCAGATGGGTTGAACACTATTTCAGCTCCATTGAGGCCAAATGCAAGCCAATTAAGGGGATGATGTCTTCCATAACAAATGTTCACTCCTATTTTGCCATAAGCGGTTTCAAACACTGGATGCCCAGTGTTACCCTCCATGTAGTATGTGCTCTCATTGAAATCACCAACTCTTGGAATGTGATTCTACAGTAGCGTTTACTAAGACACTGTAAAAGCTTTCTGACAGAAGGAAGGAATAGAAAATGCAGCCAAAGGAAAAGAAAAATGTAGTGACGTGCATACCTTTCGATGAATGCCAATTATGTTGCCATTGTTTCCAATAACAACAGAAGTATTCCAAATAGTCTCCCCATGTTTTACATCCCTTTCAAGGATTGGGCTCACTATTACCATGTTATACTTCTGTGCAAGTTCTTGAAGGAATTGAGTAGATTCTCCATCAACTGGTTCAGCAAATTCACACCATCTTTTCTCGCGTGTGCAGAAGGCAAAAGGCATTGTCCAGGCTTCCTGAATTTGGTGCGAATCATTAGAAACGATATTCCTTTTGGAGATATAACTCAACGTCCTGAACTGCTTACAATCATTCCAAATGTTCCAAAGAAAAAGTACAAGTTACTCACTTGTAGGCACAAAATATTGACACCAGAAGCACCAGCTGCATCAATTACAGGTTTTATTTTGTCCATGATTGCCTTCTTCTGGTCAGCAAAGTGACAAGTAGTGGGAACGGCAATTGAGTTCTGAATTAGACCAACTCGAATAACTCGTGGTTGCCTTAGAAACTCTTTGTCTGCACTAAAACGGAATGCCTGTAGCACAGATAGATTTAAATCCGTCAACCAATATAATTAGTTTCTGTATGATAGCTGCTGATGCCTTGAAAAAAAGGATGATACGTCTCTGCAATCACATAATCACTTGACAAGCACTAATGAAAATGACAATTTATTATGAGATAACCTGCACATCAAAATTGTGTGTTTCTGCAAGAGCTGTTGTGGCGTCAGGCAGTGAGATAGCCTCAAGAGGTTGTGCACAATTCAGTCCCAGCAGCAATCGGCTTGCTTCCTGTCAACAGGAAAAAGTTGCCAATATCAACAAACTGAACCTAAATGTCATCTAGATATCCATATGATTATGACCCAATGAAACAGACTGGGAGTTGAGTACAGCAGGGCATAGTATTTACGATTCTGAAATCAGACCATAGGTAAATTTCGCAGACACCGATCTTGCTAAGTAACAACCATTATATCTGAGGATCTGACTAGGAAGAAAAAAGGACATACAAAGTTCGCTTGAACTTATGAGCCTGACTTATCAGCCATGGTACAATGTTTTCTCTCACAACAAATCAGCGAACCCTGTTCGCTTGAACTACTTCAGCGGTACTTTTCAGCAAACGAACAGTGTTTTCCTCTCACAACAAATCAGCATAAGCCAATTTCAGCGAAACGCTTTTCAGCCTGGCTTTTCAGCGAAGCGAACAGGGTTGTTCGAAGAGGCTGCAAACACAGCTAGGACACATACATAACCATAAGTAGCATCAGTATGAATGAATGTTACAAGAAGCATGTCTATAGTCCACAACAGATACTTAAATTCAGTAGCACATCACCTATATGAAGAGAAAGTGACTAGTTAACGTACAACATAACCAATTGATCGTTAATTAGGCTCGTTCAGAGCAGCAAAACTGTTTACAAAATTCACCAGATTTCTCTCGATCAATTGCTGCGAGCACTCTTTCCGGTCGTAATTTGGTTATGCGACAGCGTTGATTCGGCATGTGAAAAAAGTTCGCCCGAGCACAAGTGCGCAACTGAAATTGGATACGGCATAACCAAGAAACGGGCACGGGCGACGGCACGGTGGGACGAATCTGGTCCCCCGCCCAGCGAGGGAATGAGACAGTGGTAGGGTACCTGGAATAGCTGTGGGGAGAGGTTGGCCTCCAGGAGCCTGTGCAGGGACTCGTACCCGCCGATCGACCCCGCCGGCGGTGGCGCCTTTCCCTCCTCCCCTTGCGCCGCCTTGCCATTGCTGGTCGCCATATTCTCTCGCTTGCGTTGCGCGCGCGCCGGGAGCTTCTTCACTCCTTCGGATTGGACCAACTCGGGGGAGAGGGAGAAGCGAGCAGGTCTCTTCTTCTTCAATCAACTAGTGAGACGTGACGACGAAACCCATGTGATGTGATGTGATGTGATGATCTTGATTGGCTTCTTGCATGGTTTTTTTCGTTGGATGACAAACATGAAACATCGGATCTGGTCGGCTGACGTTAAAGCCACTGATAGGCCGGTTTAAAGTGTTTTATCGTTTGAAAAAATACTGTAAATTCTAATCGATAAGCCAAGCGAACAGGCCATGTGATTTGGATTGGCTTCAAATTAAAATGGGAATTAAATAGAAGAATAGATAAACTCATGTGCCTGATAACGTCTGATGCTGGGATAATTAATACGTAAACAGGGTACAAAGGCGGGGTCCCTGAAATACGTCAACAGCCTCAGGAGACGTGTTAACCCCTCGATCATAAACGAAACGGACGGCTCCTAGGCGGGGAAAGCAGATAGGCCCGCCGCGACAGGAAATTAAGCTTACAAGCCCCACAGGCCACCGCCGCCGCCTCGCTGCCGATGGCGGCCGCCGCCGCCGCGCGGCTCCTCCGCCTGGCCCCGCGCCGGCTCCAGGTTCCCAAGGCCTCCCCGCTCGCCGCGCTCTCGTTCCCACTCCCGCGTACGGCGCCGCTCGCCGCTGCCTCGGGGCGGCGGCAGCGCTTCTGCGCCGCGGCGCAGGCCTCCGCATCCGCCCCCGCAGCCGCGGCGACAGGGGCGGCGGGCGAGGCCGTGGGGGAGTTCAGGAAGCGGCTGCGGGTGGCGGACGTGAAGGGCGGGGAGGACGAGGGCGCCGCGTGGGTGGGCAAGGAGCTCGCGGTGCGCGGGTGGGTGCGCACCTGCCGCGCCCAGAGGACCGTCACTTTCGTTGAGGTGGCACAGTGACAATTTCGTTTTGCTCTGGTTTTGATCATTTGGAATTTGGTGCAATGGTGACGCGTGCCGTTAGTACATTTTACTTTTGCTCAAATGGGTGCATATGATTAGCACCTGGGTGATTTAGGACTCTAGTGAATGTAGTTATGTGCCTTGCTTTTGTACTAGGAACCAGGCTAGGGTGCTCAATTAGCATTTCAACAATGTTATCAATGCCTTGATATTTGACTAAATATTCTGAGCGGAATGTAGTGTTGCATGTTTCAACTGATAGTGTATCTCCTTTGCTTTAGTAATTAATGAACAGAGAGACCCAAGATAACATTTCATAACACTTGTCTCATGAGCCAGTCGAACCATAATGCTTACGCGCGTCATAAAGGAATTTATGATTATGGACTCAAGTAGCTCTTATCTTCTGCACATGCGTGATTATCATCCAGAGGAACAGGTATTATTATTATTATTTCCTTTAAGAGTCTAATGCATTCTAAAACTTCAACTTTTAGGTCAATGATGGCTCTTGCTTGTCCAATATGCAATGCGTATTGACTCCTGAAACAGAAGGCTATGACCAGGTACTATGTTTTGCCCATTTTGCAAAGGTTGCAGGTTTATCCTTTTGTAAGCTTCTCTTACACTGCATTGGTTGCAGTTGATAAGGCTATAATATGTTTTATTCGTCATTATTTTCAATGATGGCTGTCAGATAGACTCTGTCACTACTGGAGCATCTGTACTAGTCGAGGGAGTTGTTGCAAGCAGCCAAGGCGGTAAGCAAAAAGTGGAGTTGAAGGTTTCAAAGATCACTGTGGTAATTATTCCAGTATTTTATAATTACTTTTAGTTCACGCATTCCTGTGAATAGTCTGTAACTAACTAGCTTGTTAAGATGTCAAGAAGTTTCTTTCTGTTTCTGCATTTCTAAAAAAATACAATTTCGTAGTTTGTTAATGTCTCATTTATTCATTTTGCATGCCAACTGTAGTCAACTGAAGCATCCTGTGAGGCCATATATTCTTTTGTTCTCTTGTTTCAAGTTGTACACACATTATGTAACTTCCTTTGCTATATGCTATACTTAACTAATGTTTGATACTAATCGGGCCTCTATACCTTTCGTTTGTCGGATTGTAAACCAAGAACTTGCAGTCTGACGACCTTATTTTTTTGTGCCTTTATTTTTTTTCTTGGAATGTTTATTTTTACTTTGTTTTTGCAGATTGGTAAGAGTGACCCCACATCTTTTCCTATACAGAAGAAACGGGCATCAAGAGAGTTCCTTAGAACTGTAGCCCATCTCCGTCCTCGGACAAACACTTTTGGTGCAGTATGTTCTACTCACTGCTGACCCCCTTTTCTGTCATACTGAGGACTTGAAAAGCTGCCAGTTTGATATTATTTTGGTTCATTCTAGTATAAAGGCGCATAGATTTGTTGACCAAGAGATTGAGGATGATACATTTTCTTTCCTTCCATTACTCAACCCGAAATTGAATGCCCTTTATCAAGTGCTACCATTTTTCTATTTGTGTTATTAGTTCCCTATGTTAGCTTACAATTTCATACACATCTGTAAAACGGTTGCCCATGCAAATTTCTGGATTTTGGAGTCATATGGTTATAGAGTTTTTTTCCCCTCCTGAATATGGGCCACTTGGACACTGACTTGCAAGATAATGGGTTATCATCTATGCTGGTGATCTAGTTACACAAATCTCTCTTAAAAATGATATGAAATATGATTCTTTACCCCAAGTTTTCTTGTTCAGTAATTACTCAAGTTTCTCCTGTGGATTTGCTTACTGGAACTGGATATGCTTGTGCTTATTTAGGTGGCAAGAGTGAGAAATGCTCTGGCATACGCAACTCATAAATTCTTTCAAGACAATGGATTTGTTTGGGTTTCAAGCCCAATTATTACTGCCTCAGATTGTGAAGGAGCTGGGGAGCAGTTTTACGTGACTACCTTGGTTAGTTTTTCTTCAATATGTTTCTTTAGATAGACTACTTACACTCTTAGAATTTGGTTGCTGTATAGAAAATGTTCTGTTCATCTATGTTAAACTGAATCTATGCTCCTTTCTATGTTTACCAAAATATTTCAATTGGAGCCTATGCTCTGAATCAGAAACCATACAGCCTGACAAGCTGCCCAATCCAGCTGTATCATTATTGGAGTGGACATGTTGCAATTTTTTTTTTACCTATATTGCTTATAGAACTTCCTTAAAGTTGTGCCTATCAAATATCTGGTGTATGGAAGTCATAGAAATGTCATCATCAGGTTTACTGTTAGATCAGGTTGCATGCATTATTTGGAGAATTGTAATTGTAATCATTGAAGTTATACCATAACAGTCATATCAGAATCATTCAATCATTATCCCATATGTGTTCTAATCATATATGTATAAGTATATAACTAAGTTCATGATTACTAGTGGCATCATTGTCTTTCCACAAAACTTTTCCTTAGAATGATATGTAGCCGTCCATTTTGCCTTCTTGTTCCTTGGTTTTCCTTGTTGTATTCTGGTTTGAATATATTTAATATTTTTGTCCACTTCTATAATATAGCTTTCAAACAGCGCTGAAGGTGGTTCCCTACTCAAAGATATTCCTGCTACCAAGGATGGAAGGGTTGATTGGTCACAGGTAGCCTTTGCCCTTGTTAGCATGTTACCTGAGTCAATTTGCTTTTATCATATGATGCCCTATATTTAATTTTATTTAGTTTCTCCAAACTGTATTAGTAATATGAATCTTTCCAATGTTACTTATGCTAGGATTTCTTCTGCAAACCAGCATTTCTGACAGTGTCTGGACAGCTCAATGGTGAAACATATGCTTCAGCTCTATTTGATGTAATTCTTTTGCCACATTCATTTGAACCAGTTAACCCTGTCATTTTTTATAGCTTTAATTAGTTTTTTTATTACCTCATTCATTTTTTCGCTCCAGATTTACACATTTGGTCCAACGTTTAGGGCTGAAAATTCAAACACTGCAAGGCATCTGGCTGAATTTTGGGTATTTGAAATCCTCACACCACTTTCTTTACAATCCGACTAAACACTGAATTCACATCTTTTGCTGTTTCGTTGTTGTGAGTGAAGATGATTGAACCTGAGCTTGCCTTTGCGGATCTAAACGATGACATGGCTTGTGCAACTGCATATCTCCAGTATGTAGTAGGTGCCTTCTTCTACCATTTTTGTTTGATGCTCAAGTCTACCGCTAGCCATATCTGCAGTGTGGTTTTATTAAAGCCTCTTGACTATTAAATTTGGGAAATTTCAAGCAGTGGTCTAGACTCACCTTTAACCTAAATTACTGCTGTTTCATGCAGGTAAAATATATTCTAGAGAACTGCAAAGAGGATATGGATTTCTTCAATACATGGGTTGAGAAAGGCATCATAGATCGATTAAATGTATAGCTCTTATATATAGCTTTCCTTTGTTGTTCTCATATCTATGGCAGCAGCATATAGCTTTCGACTCAATTGTACGTTTTGATCAAGAGGAATGCTGTCAGTGAATTCTCTTCTGCTTGCCCACAGGATGTAGTAGAGAAGAACTTCATTCATTTGTCTTACACTGATGCTGTCGAGCTACTTCTTGGGTCCAAGAAGGAATTCGAGTTCCCGGTAATGCATGAGTGACAGCTTCTAAGATAACTTTCTCATGTTTGTCACATTATACTTATCTGATGCGTTTTTTGAATTTTATTTACAATTGTAATGAAGATTCAAGCATATACTTCTGAAAATGGCTGAACGCTTGAAATGTTGATATTTGTCTTACAGTTCAATGTTGACTGCACAAATTCTGGTTGCTTTGATATGTATGAAATCACCTGTGTGCTTTCTACTTGTACTGAGTCCCACATACGAATATTCATTCCCTGAGCTTCAATGAGAGGCAGAAGCTCAAGTGATATTCATATGAAAATAAATGTCTTAGCTGACCTTTTTTCTCTCTCCAAAAATCATCAGGTAAAGTGGGGTTTGGATCTTCAAAGTGAGCATGAGCGATATATCACAGAAGTTGCCTTGGGTGGACGCCCTGTAATAATTAGAGATTACCCAAAGGTTTGCAATGTACAGTTTTGAGTGTTAATAATAGTTTTGAAACAAAGTATCATACCATTTCATTTTCATTAGGAAATCAAAGCTTTCTATATGAGAGAAAATGATGATGGGAAGACAGTTGCTGCGATGGATCTGTTGGTTCCTCGGGTAAGCACATACAAGTAATAGATCATATATAAAATTCTTAGCATGCGAATGAATAAAATGGAACAGAAGCTTTAGCTATTGCCAATACTGACTGTGTCTGTTCAATGTCAGGTCGGTGAACTTATTGGAGGAAGCCAGAGGGAAGAGCGTCTTGATTACCTTGAAGCCCGATTAGACGAGCAAAATCTGAACAAGGAGAGCTACTGGTGGTATTTGGACCTGCGGCGATATGGATCAGGTTATAATACATTAACCCATGTTAAAATTTCAAAAAGGATGAATACTGTTATTTTTCCAGTTTTGGTTATAAATAGTTGATACCTTTTTTGCCCCCTTCGTGATGACCCATAACAAACTTTGATTTTTTTTTTCTCTGATCCAGTTCCGCACGCTGGTTTTGGTCTTGGATTTGAGCGGCTTGTCCAGTTTGCTACTGGAATAGACAACATCAGAGACGCCATCCCGTTTCCCCGAGTTCCTGGCTCTGCCGAGTTTTAGCACCCTGAAAGTGTTGTCATATACGTATACTTTAGGAACATTCTTTCCTAAGATGTGACATGAGGAAATGCATACGTGTACTGTCTCAGAATTGTAGAGAGTTGAGCTGACTCGTGATTAATCTGGAGCCAAGCAGTGCTGTGGCAAACTTCATTGTTTAGTGTAAATTTTTTCGTCAAATATGTAACTGGAGAATGATTTAATCTTTTCTCTGGTAATATGAATATATCAGTTTTGTCTGCAAGGTTGAGATTCTGTGTCGGGTACCGTTTATTTAGCTCATGCAATGCAAGCACAGTTCTGATGCCTTCCATGGGGTAGACCGTAGACAGTATCCAGAAGCTGTTGGTTCTCAGCTTGTTCGTTTGGCTGTGGCTTGCGTTTGTTTGGCCGTGGCTTGTTGTAAACGATCGTAAATTTTCAGCCGGAATATTATTTTTTTTCTCACACAAACCAGCCAGCAGTGCTTCTTCACGAACCAGCAACGATATGAATCAGCCAACCAAACGGGCTGTCTGTCTGCAAGGTTGAGATTCTGTGTCGGGTACCGTTTATCCAGAAGCTGTTGCTCCCTTCTTTTTTTAACTGCACTATCGGAAATAGTCGCTTAGGCACTCGGCAAAGTCCAAAAAACGCTCGGTAAATGATTTGCTAAGTGCAACACTCTGGCAAACAGCACAGCATCTATGGTGCCGGCAAACGGCTCTTTGCCGAGTGTTTTCTATCGGACACTCGGAAAACTTTGCCGAGAGCTGAAACCGACACTCGGCGAAAAAAGTAACGTGATGGAGTGGAGATGGTCCCGGCGCGTTTGCCGAGTTTCAACGTTCAAACACGTCCTATAATGCACATAAATTTTGGCTTTTTTGCCGAGTGTCGTAGCGCAGACACTCGACAAAGAAGCCATTTTAGTCCTAGAATGCACAGAATTTTGCCACGTGTTCAGTTTGCCGAGTGTTTTAACCCTGACACTCGGCAAAAGGCCTCTTTGCCGAGTGTAACACTCTGCAAAGTGACCATATATTTCCTGTTTTTATGGTTCGGTCACGTATAACGTACGCCACTCAAATAAACATTACATGCATCACACATAGTTCACAATAAGCATAACAGACAGTTCATATAGATATATCAACAACAAATAAATACAAATAAACTTCAGAATTACAAATAGGTTCATTCACAACCACAAATAGTCACAAGTAGTCACAAGTTCTCAGAAAATGCAAATGCAAATAAAATCACTTAGGCCACGAGTCCACTGCGACCACGCTGGATCATGAGGCTCATTTGATACCGCTGATTGATGCTGCACAAAGGAGAAGAGATTGCATGTGCAAGTCAAGATTGAACAACACGTATGGTCTCTCTGCTGCCTAACTAGTATAACCCTTTAACTATCAGGAATATCTTCTCAATTGCATTGTGCTCTAGTATGATTGCTTAACTACTAGTTGGTAACAAACATATAGCATTAGTCACTAAGTTTCTAGTGTCTGGGCATCCTTATACGATTGATTATGTATAAACTAGAAACGGTGATTATAAGGTTGTAAAGTGACTTACTTTGCCTGAAACAGTGTTTGGAGCAGGTTGAGGAGGAGGGACTGGCATCGGTGGCGGAGGTTGACCGATTGCAGCGTAAACACCCCTCATATATTCAAACATCTGCAGCTTCATCCTCTACCGCTCTGCCTCCATCCTCTGCCGCTCTACCTCCATCTTCGCCTCTAGCTCCTCCTGGCGTCTCATTTCTTGTTCCAGCTGAGCCTACAATATTTCATCCCAATGTTACAATGCAATGCAAAAGTATGTAAAAATGAATGAACAATGAATAAAACAGAAATAACCTGGAGTGCGTTCATTTGGAACCGTGTAGAGTCCGGCCGTGGGCGTATCGCTGGACTGGAACCTGTGCTCCATGCTCGAATCTGGGAGAGAGTGGGAGTACTGGCCGTGTCGATTGTGCCGTCGCCAATCCAGAACCGGCCATGCTTCTTGCCTCCTCCCACGCTCATGACCACTTCTCCATCAAGGTCATGGGCGCTCGGATCGTACTCTGGGCCAAGGACCACCCTTGCCATCGATGTGTATCCATCGAGGCGGCTATGGACGGACTCGTTGTTGTACGCCGAGGGCGGGTCCTTTGGGTTGTAGGTGACGTCGGACGTTGCCTTCCCCTTGTGGGCCAAAGCATATGCCATGAACTGGGAGCAAGGCTCGCCACTATGTGTCGCCGACTGCAAAAAAAAGCAATATGATTAGAAATTATGCAGAGTTGAGCATTAGAATAAAGAAATGAATTCGCGTACCCATCTAGCCGTGTATTCTGAGAGGTTGAGATTGCCTTGATGGTGTGGTGCACCCGACATCAGCAAACACCGCTCCCGACAAGTGTTGTGATTCTCCTCCCACGCGGAGTCGCACCACCTGTCCACCATCCGGGCCCAGCACTGCAGATCGTAGGCGCACCACCACGGAGGCACCTACGTCATCAAGTATATGACATATAAGAAGATGAAATTAAGCGTCATTAATCTCAGAAAAAATAAGTATTAATGTTCTATATTTACCTTCAGGTATTGTTCCGAGGTCAGGCTCATGGTTCTTGTCGCCCTTTTAGGGATCCTCTCTCTAAGAATTTCCACGTGGTATTGGATCACAGCCTAGATGCGTGCCTCATAGTGCATGTCCTTGACGAGTTTCTTGGCGGCTTTGTCAGCCATAGCATCCGGCTTGGCCTCGTATCCCTCCTCGCATCTAAAGAAATCCTACATATATATAGACGTGATGTATCCAGTCATTATTTCAAGAATGTCCAATCAATGCGATGTATTGAGCAATGTAGTGCGAGAAAGACTTACCCAAAGCTCGGCCTTGACACGCTGCGCCTTGTCGGCGAATACCCTGCCATCACAATCAGGGGTGTTGGGGACGGCGGCATAGTGGGCCCACGTGTAGGCCGGCTCGATAGTTCCGCCGAACTGCACCAGGCCAGGGAACTTTTCCTTGATCAAAAGACCAAGGATGCCGTTCACATGGCATGCGTGATCACCCCCACCGACCTTCCTCCAACCCCTACCCAAGTGATTAGATAAATTATTAGTTTCTATTATAATTTTGAACATATCAAATGAAAAATTAGTGATAACATATAAAGTTACTTACTTGTCTCCATCGGGTCGAATCAGCGGCGTCTCTCAAGAGGTATCAGTCACCTCGGGAGGGTCGAGGGACCTCGCAACCACACACACGACGAACTTGAGGAAGAGGTATCCCTGTCTCCTCCTCCACCCCTGCCTCCTCCTCCACCTGTACCTCCTCCTCCACCTATACCTCCTCCTCCTCAGAGGATGAGTGAGCGGAAGGTAACTCAGACAGCGATGAAGGTATAGGCGACGGTGGCCTCGTCTTGCCTCCACCCTTCCCTCGACCCCTGGGTCTACCCTGAGGTCTCTTCCTGGATCCCTCAGCTGCATCGGACCCTTTACGCGTCACTGTCGCTTTTGAGTAAAGCGACGCTATCCTCTTTGTACCGCCCACCATTATTCAATCACCTGCAATTAAAAAGAGTAAACCAATTCGCACAGATAATACATTAAAATAGATGCAAAATAAACAAAACATACTTAGAAAATAACATGGTATGACAAATAATAAATCAATTAGCATGGATCATACATGTAATAGAAATAATCATCATGATCGGGATTAGCTGGATCATAAGTCTCATCATCACTATCAAGCATGTCGATATAATCATCCCCATGCTTCGAAGGAGGAATGTCATCATCACCGTCATTGCTTAGATGTAATCGCTGAAGTAATTCTAAGTCCTTCACATTCTGAACCTCGTCTCCGGCGTCCTCGTCAGCACCACTTTCATTGTCTACTTCCATACCCTGAGCTTCGGTTAAGTCTATCTCAAAACTCCCTTCGAGCCCATCTTCTTGCATCTATAGGTTCCTATACAATCTAATAGGTGAAGATAGGTCCTAATCCCATCCGAGGATGTGTAGATGAGGTTAGTTTCCATGCTCTACTCCTATCCAAGACAGAATTTCGGTAGCACCTCCCCGTTGTTCTCCGAATACACGTCCTGGCATGGAGATTGTGTATTCGGAGAACAACAGGGAGATGCTACCGAAACTCTGTCTTGGATCAGAGTAGAGCATGAAAACTAACCCCATCTACACATCCTCGGGCTGTCAAAAAATATGGACAATTCAAAACAGATACGGTTATAGATATGCAAAGATATGTATATTTCCAACCGTATCTCTTTCGAACGGGAGACGCCTAGCTAGGTTACGTGATATACGAACATGATATGAAAAGAGGAGTGTAGGATGCCTCACCTTGCTGTCCTGCAAAGTGACGAGTCGAGGACGGTGGGGAATGATCCTTGCAATAGCCTCTCCTGTAACAAACGAATATAATAGTGTCAATTGTAAATTTCGGCAGCACCTCCCCTGCACGGTGAGGTAACCAAAACCTGCAACAAACCAATGGCACGATGGCCGACAACCACATACACAACAAATTGAATCCTTGCAAGTTGGCACGTTGCATAACAAGAACAAGAAGGTTTGGCAGATGGAGAGCACACAATATATATGTCCCCATGTATGTGTTGGTTCTAATTTTCATATTGCATCTATTATTTTATGGGATGCGAAAGGACAACATTGCCATTCACAAACTCAGTTTCGGCCAAAAATGGACTGAAGTTGAAAATTTGCTTTGTTAGGCATGCAGTCATAATCATACAGTAACAACATGTAGTTCCACATCCACTAATAGCTACTGACAACAAGTACTTGAAGCAAAAGCAAGAACTTGAATGTGGCATAGAAGGGTGGGAAAAATATCATATCTCGACAAGCAGTGGACAATAGCGCATAAGTAGGCGACAGAGCAAGGCCGAGGACCGAGCGGGGTTGAACGTACCGGTACTAGCCGGTAAGTGCCTGCTGCCATGGCCGGCACATACCTGTTCT